TTGATCTTTTCAAAAAAACAGATCCTGGATTTATTGATTTTTTGAAGGGTTTTTTTGTCTCTATCTCTTTCAGTTCTGCTCTGATCTTAGCTATTTCTTGTCTTCTGCTAGACTTTGAGGTTTTTTGATCTTGCTCCTCTAGCTCTTTCAGTTTTGACGATAGGGTGTCAATTTTAGATCTCTCCTTGCTTCTCATGTGGGCACTTATTGCTATATATTTTCCTCTAGAAACTGCTTTAAATGTGTCCCAGAGATTCTGGTATGTTGTGTCTTCATTCTCATTGGTTTCGAAGATCATCTTTATTTCTGTCTTCATTTTGTTGTTTATCCAGTCAACATTCCAGAGCAAGTTGTTCAGCTTCCATGAAGCTGTGCGGTTCTGGGTTAGTTTTTGAATTCTGAGTTCTAACTTGATTGCACTGTGGTCTGAGAGACTGTTTGTTATGATTTCAGTTCTTTTGCATTTGCTGAGGAGTGATTTACTCCCAATTATGTGGTCAATTTTAGAGTAGGTGTAATGTGGTGCTGAGAAGAATGTATATTCTGTGGATATGGGGTGGAGAGTTCTGTAAATGTCTATTAGGTTTGCTTGGTCCAGGTCTGAGTTCAAGTCCTGGATATCCTTGTTAATTTTCTGTCTGGTTGATCTGTCTAATATTGACAATGCAGTGTTAAAGCCTCCCACTATAATTGTGTGGGAGTCTAAGTCTCTTTGTAAGTTATTAACAACTTGTCTTATGTATCTGGGTGCTCCTGTATTGGGTGCATATATATTTAGGATCGTTAACTCTTCTTGTTGCATTGATCCTTTTACCATTATGTAATGCCCTTCTTTGTCTCTTTTGATCTTTGTTACTTTAAAGTCTAATTTATCAGAGATGAGAATTGCAACTCCTCATTTTTTTTGCCCTCCATTTGCTTGGTAAATCTTCCTCCATCCCTTTATTTTGAGCCTTTGTGTATCCTTGCATGGGAGATGGGTTTCCTGGATACAGCACACTGATGGGTTTTGGCTTTTTATCCAATTTGCCAGTCTGTGTCTTTTGATTGGGGCATTTAGTCCATTTACATTTAGGTTTAATGTTATGTGTGAATTTGATACTGCCATTTTGGTGCTAGTTGGCTGTTTTGCCCATTAGTTGATGCAGATTCTTCATTGTGTTGATTCTCTTTACATTTGGCATGTTTTTGGAGTGGCTGGTACTGGTTGTTACTTTATATGTATAGGGCCTCTTTCAGAAGCTCTTGTAAAGCTGGCCTGATGGTGACTAAATCTCTGAGTACTTGCATGTTCCCAAAGGATTTTATTTTTCCTTCACTTATGAAACTTAGTTTGGCTGGATGGGAGATTCTGGGTTGAAAGTTCTTTTCTTTGAGGATGTTGAATATTGGCTCCCACTGTCTTCTGACTTGTAGGGTTTCTGCTGAGAGATCTGCTTTGAGTCTGATGGGCTTCCCTTTGTGGGTAACCTGACCTTTCTCTCTGGCTGCCCTTAGTATTTTCTCCTTCATTTTAACCCTGGTGAATCTGACAATTATGTGCCTTGGGGATGCTCTTCTTAAGGAATATCTTTGTGGTGTTCTCTGTATTTCCTGGACTTGAATATTTGCCTGCCTTGCTAGGTTGGGGAAGTTTTCCTAGATAATATCCGCAAGAGTATTTTCCAGCTTGAATTCATTCTCTTTGTTGCATTCAGGTACGCCTATCAAACGTAGATTAGGTCTTTTCACATAGTCCCACATTTCTTGGAGACTTTGCTCTTTCCTTTTTACCCCTTTTTCTCTATTCTTGCCTTCCCGTTTTATTTCATTGAGTTGATCTTCGACCTCTGATATCCTTTCTTCTGCTTGGTCAATTCGGCTGTTGATACTTGTGCATGCTTCACGAAGTTCTCATGTTGTGTTTTTCAGCTCCATCAATTCACTTATATTCTTTTCTATTTTGTCCATTCTCGTTAGCATTTCGTCAAATCTTTTTTCAAGGTTCTTAGTTTCTTTGCATTGGGTTAGAACATGTTCTTTAAGTTCACAGAAGTTTCTTACTACCCACCTTCTGAAGTCTGATTCTGTCATTTCATCATACTCGTTCTCCATCCAACTTTGTTCCCTTGCTGGTGAGGAGTTGTGATCCCTTGTAGAAGGAGAGGTATTCTGGTTTTGGGTGTTTTCATCCTTTTTGCGCTGGTTTCTTCCCATCTTTATGGATTTATCCGCCTGTCGTCTTTTTAGTTGCTGGCTTTCAGATTTGATCTCTGAGTGGATGTTCTATTTGTTGATGATGAGGTTATTTCTGTTTCTTGGTTTTCCCTCTGACAGTCTGGCCCCTCTGCTGTAGGTCTGCTGAGGTCCACTCCAGGCCCTGCTTGCCTGGGGATCACCTGCAGGAGCTGCAGAACAGTAAGTGTTGTTACCAGTTTTCTTCTTCTGCTATCTTTGTCCCAGAAGGATACCCGCCAAGTGTCAGTCTGATCTCTCCTTTATGAGGTGGCTCTTTGGATATACAGGGGTCAGGGAGCTGCTTGAGGAGACAGTCTGTTCTTTATAGGAGCTCAAATGCTGAGCTGTGAGCTCCGTTTTTCATTCAAAGCTACTGGGCAGGTATGTTTGGGTCTGCTGCAGCAGAACTCGTAAACCGCTTTTTGTTCCCAGGTGCTCTGTCCCAGGGATTTAGGGCTTTATTTATCAGTTTCCATTATGCTGCTACCTTCTTTTATTTTCCTTCAGAGTTGCCCTGCCCAGCAAGGAGGCAGCCTAGTCACTGTCTGCCTGTAGAGGCTTTGCTGAGCTGCTGTGTGCTCCGCCCAGCTGCTGAGTGAACTTCCCTGCAGTCCTGTTTGTTTAGGTGTAGTTAGAACTGCCTCGGCAATGGTGGCCTGCCTCTGTTAAGGCGGGGTCTCTCTGTAGTGGCGGGTTGCCTTGGCAATGGCAGGCTGCCTCAGCAATGGCAGGTTGCCTTGGCAAAGGCGGACTGCCTCAGCATTGGCTGACTACCTCTGTAGTTGCAGGCTGCCTTGGTAATGGCAGATGCCCCTACCCCACAGAGCTGGACCGTCCCGGGTTCAGCTGCACTTACTGTGATACTCTGAATCAAGAGAGTTTCTGATTGCTGTTCTTTTGTGGGCGTGGGACCAGCCGAGCCTGATCGCCTGGCTCCCTGCCTTAGAGCCTTTTTTTTTTTTTTAAGTTGGCGTTCCAGTTGCCTGTTGAAGAGGCACTGGGATCTGTGTGTTTTCCCATGTGGCGACTCACTGCGCTGGCTTAAACAGCAGCACTGAGATCCCTGGCACATTTTTTGCCCTGGAATCTACTGTCCTGGTTCCCTGTTCAGTCCCCTTTTTAAACAGATGAATAGGTGACTTCCCGTGGCTCCAGTCGGTAGCCAAAGGGGCACTCGGACCAGTGTATTTTGTACAGAGAACCGCTGCGCTGGGGCGCTGACAAAGCAGCCGCACGGGGCAAAGCAGCGGCACTGGCCGACACAGCCGCGCTGGCCGAAACAGCCGCGCTGGTGACCCATGGAGCTCCTCCGCCTGGGAATTTCCAAGTCTGTGGGCAAGGTGTCCAATCACCCTCTGCACTTTCACTGGGAGCTGCAATCCTGAGCTGTTCCTAAATGGCCATCTTGGATCCTGCCTCCATTTTAGAGATCTTTCACTTCTTTGGTTAAGTTTATTCCTTGGTATTTTATTTTATTTGTGGCCATTGTAAATGGGATTACTTTTTTTTTCTTTTTTTTTTTGAGACGGAGTTTCACTCTTTTTACCCAGGCTGGAGTGCAATGGCATGATCTCAGCTCACTGCAACCTCCACTTCCTGGGTTCAGGCAATTCTCCGGCCTCAACCTCCTGAGTAGCTGGGATTACAGGCATGTGCCATCATGCCCAGCTAATGTTTTGCATTTTTAGTACAGACAGGGTTTCACCATGTTGACCAGGATGGTCTCGATCTCTTGACCTCATGATCCACCTACCTCGGCCTCCCAAAGTGCTGGGATTACAGGCTTGAGCTACCGCGCTGGGCACTTTCTTAATTTCCTTTTCAAATTGTTTGTTGTTGACATATAGAAATGCTATGTTGATTTTTTTATCCTGCAACTTTGTTGAACTTGTTTATCAGTTCTAATAACTTTTTGGTGGAGTTTTTAGTTTTTTCCATATATAAGACCATTTCATCTGCAAATAAAGATAATTCAACTTCTTCCTTTCCAATTTGGATGCTCTTTGTATCTTTCTCTCGTCTAATTGCTCTACCTAGGATTTCCAGTACTATCTTGGATAACAGTGATGAAAGTGGGCTCTATAATCAGCAGGTGGAAAATATAGCCAGGCTTATGACATTCCCTTCAGGGTGGAAGCCTCCCTGGGCCCAGGCAGGTCTAAAGATGCCATCCAGGAGCCAGGGCATATAGTCAGGAAGCTTAGGAACATACTTGGTGCTCTATTATACTGTGGCTAAGCTGACAACCAAAGAGCAAGACAAAATCCTTCCCACTCTTTCTTCCTTTTTCCTCAAGCAGAAGAGTCTCGCCCTGTGGCTACCACTGCCTCAGGCCAATGGCAAGTACTGCCTAGCTATTGTCAGTGTTCACTCAAGGCCCAAGAGATCTTTAGTCAGCTTGTGGTGAATGCTGCCAGGCCTGGGACTCTTCCCTCAGGGTAGTTGGCTCCCCTCTGGCCAAGGGAATGTCCAGAAATGCCATTCAAGAGCCAAGGCCTAGAATGTGGGGTCCCAAGAACCCACTTGGTGCTCTACCCCGCTGTGGTTGAGCTGGGACCTAAGCTATAAAACAAAGTCCCTTTTACTCTTCCCTCTCCTTTTGCCAAGCAAGAGAATTCTCTCCTCATAGCAACCACAGTTGGGGATGTACTGGGTCACACCTGAAGCCAGCACAACTGAATCTCACACAAGGCCTGTGGAGAGTACTGCCTGGCTACCAATGCTGGTTTTTCAGGGGTCAAAGGCTCTTCAGTCAGCAGGTGATGGATTCTATCAGGACTGGATCCTTCCCTTCAAGGCAGCAGGTTCCCTTCTGAGCCAGGCTGTGTTTAGAAATGTCATCCAGGAGCCAGAGCCTGGAATGGGAGCCTTAGAACTCTGCCAGGTACCCTATTCTACTGTGGCTGAGCTGGTATCCAAGTTGCAAGACAAAGTCCTCTTTATTCTCTCCTCTCCTTTCCTCAAGAAGATGGACAGAGTCTCTCTTGGAGCTGTGATCTGCACTGCTTGTAGTTGAGGGAGGGGTGATGCAAGCACTCCCTTGGCCACCCCAGCTGATATGTCACTGGATAGCATGCATCCCAAGCCACTGTCTCCAAACCCAGCACAGCACCAGTACTTGCTCAGGAATTGCTGTCCTTGTGACCTAGACTGCCTTTCAAGTTTATTTAGAACCCCAGAGCACTTTAGCCTGCAGTGTTAGGGGTCACCAGAACTCGGGTTCCAACCACTGGGATGGATGATTCTCCGCTGGCTAGGGCTGGCCTAATGCTCCTTCTGTGGTTGCCACCTGAGTTCTGCCCCAGGTTGCTTTCCGCTGTGACAGGGCAGCACTGAGTTCCAATGCAAAGTCACAATCACTGTGCTCTCCCTCCTCAAAGTGCACAGATCCTGTCTGTGCTACATGGCCACTGTTGGGGAGTGGGTGAGAGGCGGCATAGGTGGCTTAAAACCATCTTTCCTACCCTCTTCAGTGCCTCTTTCCTTAATATGATGTTAAAACTAAGTACTATGATCACTTATCTGATTTTTGGTTCTTGTTAAGGTGCTTTTTTGTATGGATATTTGTTCAATTTGGTGTTCTGGCAATGGGGGATGATCACTGAAAGCTTTCATTTGGCCATCTTGCTCTACCTTCTCCACCTCTGTTTGCTTAATGTCATTTTAATGGGATCTTGGGAGAGAGAGGAGCTAAAATAGTTTGATTAGTCAGTTACCTTGATCCAATGACTATGTACTTGTTGAATTTTAATGTTTATATGGTTTCTGTGGATTTTTTGGAAAATATTTGTAATTAGGAGCAATTAGCTATGAACTGGACAAATCTACATTGTTTATCCATTTATAGAAATCAGAGGATTCATTAGAGTTAAAGCTCTGTGAAAGAGATTAGTATAAAGCAATGAAATCTAATTCTCCATTGCTCCATGGAGAGAAAAGTTTAGTCGCTAATACTAACAATCAAATAATGGATATGCATAAAATTGACTCTAATGAATAGGGTATTTTGCTATACTTCATTTCATTTGTTTATGTTTTATTCTAATTTCTTTTTGAGCAGGTGGCTCCATTGAGACACTATGCAAAATATTCGTGAGACAACACTCAGCATACTTTTTTCACTCACTTTCATGGTTATAAGCACAAGTCTGGAATTTTCCTCCAAGAAAATGGCATTTCCATAGACAAACCCTAATGCTGAATTCCAGTCAGTAGCCATATTGAAAAAAACTCTCTCAAGATATTTGTCTCTCAGTTTTACAGCCACTGAAATAGTATTGGCCTGCCATTATGTCACATAATGAATTATTTTTTGTATTTACCTTAAGGTAGGCCCTGGACACACTTGGACACATGAGGCCCTAAAATGCCAAGTTAAGAACATCATTGAAGATTTGGATTTGTCTAATCTCATAGTGGTCTTGCTGGTCTCGCAGTTTTCTTGCCAGTCCTTTTATGCCCTTGGTGATTCTAGTGTTGTAGGGTTTAAAATCCTCAATATGTGTCCCAGGACGTTTACTGTATTCCCCAATCCTCAGATTTGTTTCAGGCATTTGTTGTGGACTAAATCTCTGCTGATTAATCAGCCTGCCCCTAAGATACCTGTATCTTAAACTCTTCTTTGAATTCAACCTGCTATACTTATAGCTTATCTGCCTGACCTTTTCCTCTGAAGTTATTTACTGATCTTTTAGATCCACTTTCTGTACTCACATTCCTGTGACCCAGTCCTGGATTGATGGTCCACTGGCCACATATCTGCATTCATATCTTTGTTATCTACTGAAGCCCATGGGTTTATTTGGATCATTGTTTCTAGTCTTTCTTTCATTATCTGAGCCCTAGTTATAACAGTTGAACTCTAGTCTACAATGTATTTCAATATCAATTTCAACTGAATATCACTCATCTTTCCTTAAAATTTTTTCCACTACGTAATTTTCTGATAATATTTGGAACATTTTTGCCTTCTCACAATCAAGAGTCTTCTGTTTCTTAACTTGCTTCTTACTTGTATCCTATTCCCCTTCCCCAAGTTCTGACTGTTGCAACTCTCTTTACACTAACTACCTCTCTTTTTTTATTGCACTTTAGGTTCTGGGGTACATATGCAGAACATGCAGGATTGTTGCATAGATACATACATGGCAATGTAGTTTGCTGCCTTCATCCCTCCATCACCTATATCCATGTTATCTGTCCCCAACCTCCCTACCCCCTACTGCCCCTCCCCTATTCCCCCCAAAAATACCCCAGTGTGTGATGCTCCCCTCCCTGTGTCCATGTGTTCTCCTTGTTCAACACCTGCCTATGAATGAGAACATGTGGTGTTTGATTTTCTGTTCTTCTGTCAGTTTGCTGAGAATGATGGTTTCCAGGTTCATCCATGTCCCTACAAAGGACATGAACTCATCATTTTTTATGGCTGCATAGCATTCCATGGTATATATATGCCACATTTTCCCTGTCTGGTATATTATCAATGGGCATTTGGGTTGGTTCCAGGTCTTTGATATTGTAAACAGTGCCGCAATGAACATATATGTCTCATGTGTCTTTATAATAGAATGATTTTTAATCCTTTGGTTTATAATAGAACAATTTATAATCCTTTGGATGTATACCCAGTAATGGGATTGCTGGGTCAAATGGAATTTCTATGTCTAGGTCCTTGAGGAATTGCCACACTGTCTCCCACAATGGTTGAACTAATTTACACTCCCCCCAACAGTGTAAAAGTGTCCCTATTTCTCCACATCCTCTCTAGCATCTGCTGTCTCCAGATTTTTTAATGATAGCCATTCTAACTGGCATGAGATGGTATCTCAATGTGGCTTTGATTTGCATTTCTCTAATGACCAGTGATGATGAGCATTTATCCATATGTTTGTTGGCCTCATATATGTCTTCTTTTGAAAAGTGTCTGTTCATATCCTTCACCCACTTTTGAATGGGTTTGTCTATTGTTTCTTGTAAATCTGTTTTAGTTCTTTGTAGATTCTGGATATTGGCTCTTTGTCAGATGGGTAGACTGCAAAAATTTTTCCCATTCTGTTGGTTACTAGTCCACTCTAATGATTGTTTCTTTTGCTGTACAGAAGCTCTGGAGTTTAATTAGATCCTATTTGTCTATTTTGGCTTTTGTTGTCAATGCTTTTGTGTTTTAGTCATGAAGTCCTTGCCTATGCCTATGTCCTGAATGGTTTTGCCTAGGTTTTCTTCTAGAGTTTTTATGGTGTTAGGTCTTATGTCTAAGTCTTTAATTCATCTGGAGTTAATTTTAGTGTAATATATCAGAAAAGGGTCCAGCTTCTGCTTTCTTCACATGGCTAGCCAATTTTCCTAATACTATTTATTAAACAGGGAATCCTCTCCCCATTGCTTGTTTTTATCAGGTTTGTCAAAGATCAGATGGTTGTAGATGTGTGGCATTGCCTCCGAGGCCTCTGTTCTGTTCCATTGGTCTATATCTTGTTTTGCTACCAGTACCATGCTGTTTTGATTACTGTAGGCTTGTAGTACAGTTTAAAGTCAGTAGCGTGATGTCTCCAGCTTTCTTCTTTTTGCTTAGGATTGTCGTGGCTATGGAGCTCTCTTTTAGTTCCATATGAAGTTTAAGGTGGTTTTTTTCTGTTCTGTGAAGAAGGTCATTGGTAGCTTGATGGGGATAGCATTGAATCTATAAATTACATTGGGCAGTATGGTCATTTTCATGATATTGATTCTTCCTAACCACGGGCATGGAATGTTTCTCCATCTGTTTGTGTCCTCTCTTATTTCTTTGAGCAGTGGTAGTTCTCCTTGAAGAGGTCCTTTACATCCTTTTTTAGTTGTATTCCTAGGTATTTTATTCTCTTTGTAGCAGTTGTGAATGGCAGTTCATTCTTGATTTGGCTCTAAGTCTGTTATTGGTGTATAGGAATGCTTGTGATTTCTGCACATTGATTTTGTATCCTCAGACTTTCCTAAAGTTGCCTATCAGCTTAAGGAGATTTTGGGCTGAGATGATGGGGTCTTCTAGATATACAATCACGTCATCTGCATATAGAGACAATTTGACTTCCTCCTTTCCTAATTGA